CAAAAAAAAAAAAAAGGGAAAAAAAAGAGCGAATGGCTGCTTCAATTTTATTTGGTCCAGCGAGTCAATGACCCTATAACAATTTCCAGCAGCGCACGGGTACTCGAGGGATCTCTCTTGACTTTAGGCACCTTCCCATAATCCGAAGGAGACTTGTGAATTGACCCCAAAAGAAAGTGAAAAAACTAGAGAAAACCATTCCATTCGTCCCCATAGTCAACTTTGACGGCGTAAGTGGGGAGAGAACCAGGGATTCAACGTTCGTTACCGATGCAATGGATACCTTATTGGGACATTATAGGGCCAAGATATGATTTAAATACAAAAAATTCAATAGTCGAAGCTTAGAAGAGTCAAAATATAATTAATATGGAGTCGAAGCTTAGCCTTTGAATATAAAAAATTACTATAATTGTTCCCAAGACTCAATTCAATTAATAAAAATATTATGTAGGTTGATGAACAGTTCGGATCGAATACGAGGGAAAATATGAGGGAAAATAGGCCAGGAAGCCTCTGTGTTCAAAAAATAACCTCCTCAGTGTCATGACGCTGTAGTTGTTTTCACTGATGATATCCGCTCCAATTCTTTGCCAGTTTCTTAGACACAGGAATCATATAGATCAGTGGAAACCATATCCCTTGCTATGGCTAATGGCTTAGATTGTAAAACAATTCCCAAATAAGACAATTTCTGATTCATCCAACAATTTTGGCAACCTGTAGCCTAGTCCCCGGAATTTCTCATATCTTGAATCACAGCATACTTACTCCATAGACTTTATTCAATTCTGGTTCACAATTGGCTGATTAAAATGCCTTTCCAGTCAAATGAACGTGTGGTTAGGCGAGAGAGTCGGCGAGAGAAAGAAATTCTGCTACCACCATTGTTGAAATGCAAAATTATATGCAGTTTATTGCTTAATCGTATTCTAAGCCAGAAATGTTGAGTTTAATTTTGTATTCCATATCGAAAGTTTTACAAAGAAGCCTCTCCTCATAGTGATTATAAATATAGTGGGTTTAAGTGAGTTTGAGTGTGCCAAGAGTACCAATCCAAATAACGTATGCACAAGTTCAAGAGAATTTTACAGGGCCCATGCTCTAGTTTAAGAGAAGTTTTGGTTAGATATGAAACCAAAAGAATAAGTTATGGACCTTTAAACTGTTAAGTATTTTGTGTTAGACAAAAAAAAGGTATGATTCTTAAGAAGTCGACGGGAATTAGCCAAAGAAAGAACCGCCAAGTTCTTGTGTTTTCATGTCTACAACTTAATTCATTCGACTATTAAGTTAGAATTATTTCTTAAACTTTTGTACTCTCTTTCTGTTATAATAAATTTGCTACTCTTCCGTCCATGGACATAGATCAATTCGCCGAACCACATAAAATTTTGTATCTTTCTATTTATTTTATTTGGTTTGTTATTGTATTTATTTGGTTACCAAGAACTTTATTGTTCTCGTTGGTCAATTTTCTGAAACCAGGCCTAACAAGGAAAACAAAGAAACAAAAAGTGTTTAACAAAATCACCTGAGCTTATCTAAATATTCTAACACGTAATTCTTGGCATTATAGTGAACTTTTCCTTGGAAAGCGACAATGGAAATGCTTCTTATCCACGATTTCGACTAGGCATGTCAATGGATAGGGGTTGGGTTGGGTCCCTTTGATTCAGATCCAAACTCTTTTTAGTCTGAAAAAGTAAGTCCATATCCAAACCCTTATGAATCTGGATATTCAATGGGTATCCATGGGTATTTTCTGAAAATACTAAAGTAAAAATGTATTAAAAATATATAGAGTTCATAAATAATAGAAATACCATCCAATTTTTTGTTTTCAAATAATAAAATTAACATTCAACAAATTGAATGCAATATTTTGAACTCAAAAAAAGAATTATTATTGACTACTTCTATGTATTCAAAAAAAAGAATATTCAACTGCATCCACATTACTATTTCATTTGTTTGTCTTTACCTTTTCTCCTTTTTTTTGAAAAAGTTTGTACCAATTACAATGACAACTAGGATTAGTTTTTAAAAAAGAAAACAACCATAACATATATAAATTTTTAGTCTTATTAAAAAATGTAATTTTGTTCCTCTTTTTCTTATTTAAATCTCAATGTTGGTAGATTTCTCGCAATCCAACACTAAAATAGTGAATGAGATAAAAATCATTTGATTAAAGACCGATGGCAAATAAATAATAGAATAAGAAGATTTATAAACACTTATTCATTTTTTCTTTGATTCAATCTAATAATCAGTAGTCACTAATGTTTCAACAATATCTAGAAGTAATTTGGCACGAATCTCATCAGTCACCCAATCACGAACACTAAATGAAGATTCTGATGCCATAAAATCTTATTGTATTCATTCCAATAACCATAAAATATTATATTATTTTATAAATTTTCTAATACATATTATTTAATTAAATATGTATGGGTCTGGGTAAGATCTGATATGGGTCTAGATTTGGATATGGATTCTAGGAAACCAGACCCTACCCAGACCCACGACTCTCTCATAGGTTTTGGGTCTGGGTTTGGGTAGGGTCTGAATTTGAGAAATTAAATCCAAACCCTATCCAAAATATATTGGGTCTGGATTGGATTTGGGTAACACCCAACCCATTAACATGCCTAATTTCGACCGTATAAATAGCGGACACGTTGATAAGGAAGCTTAGATAGGAAAATTGCCTTCACAATCAAAAACTTCAAAATCAATTAAAACTTACAATATCATACAAAAATCTGAAATAATCGTCTGAGTTGTAACATTGTCCTATAATCTGCATTGAAGTTGTAACATTTCTCCAAATAATCGTCTGAGTTTAACTCTATCCAGCTTCTCCTAATTTGTTAGTGCTAAATGCTTAAAAAATTAATTTAGAAGTCACGAAAAATTATCCATTGATTTACGTTTGATGACATTTCAGCTGAAATATTTATTCACAAGTTTCCAGGAAAGTTGATTATGTCGGCATGCGCAATGAAAAACCATAATATGGTCTTAGTTTGGAGTTTGGAGAAAGTTTTAGTTAGAAGCAAATATGAATTTTAAGAGAACTTAATCTTGCGAATAAAACAAATGTCTCTGGCTCTATGAATTATGCTAATTCTGGATCCCCTAGTCGTGGTTTCCACTTCATGAATTTTGAACTTAATATAAAGACAAAAAGAAGAATACTAGCAAATTTTCATTTATGCAGTACCTCCAATTGCCTGTAAATTTGTCCAATATATATAAGTTTTTTATTCGTGGGCTTGAGTTTTTCTAATCGAGTAATTTAATTTGGTCCACTGAGTCAACGACTCTACTCCCATTTCCAACGACCCAGTGGCACTATAGGGCTCCCTCCTGACTTCAGTCATCTTCCCAAAATTGGAAGGAGACTAGGGAATTGACAAGAACTAGAGAGAATCATTCCAATCAACCACTAAATTGCGCCAAATAGTGATTAAATCCCTCTTTGAATCGTAGATCGGGGTTCGAATCTCACTTGTAGTGAAAAAATTCAAATGAGATGTTAGAATATCGCTTTGATCTAATTAAGTTTATATACCTGTTAGTTTCTGATACAGCTTTTTTAGACTTTCTCTCTCTATAAAATGGAATTGATTAGATTATACAAATATTACTATTGTAAAAAAAAAAAATTAATCCAATCATACTTTGCACATTAAAGCACCCATGATCCTTCGATGAAATGAGCACTTGATATTTTTTCGATGGATTGGATTAGCTTGTATTTACATACACAAATTCCAAATACAGATGGAGATGCAAGAATTTTTCTTTAATTTAGAACACAACATTTACTAATATAACATAATTAAATGGGGAGCAAAACATAATTTTTCTTAGAAACTTTGGACTTTGGGAGTAAACTTATTGTTAAAACCGTAACCTTAGAATAAGTTCCGAGGCTAGAAAGAGATTTAAAAAAGGGGTGTGTTGTTTTTCAAGGTTGAAGGGGTAGGTTGGGAGAGAACTGGGGATTCAACATTTTGTTACCGATGGATAGTGTTTGAAACATTTAATGGCCAAGATTTGGTAAATATGCAATTGTGGCTCAACTTTTGAATACAACAAATAGCGAATCTAATATTAATTTCAAGTAACGTTAATAACCCTTTTTTTTCGCCAAAAAATTGCTGCCTCATAAAGTTGGACCTACCTTGTTTGGAGAGTAATTTTTCTCCAAAAAAATTTTTACGTTTCTGTAAACACATTTTTCAATCACATCTTTTATAAAAAAAGATAGATAGAAATCCTTTTATACTCCAAACTGGCGTCTATGTGCTAACCAATCTACAGCGTTTGAATAAAATGGCCAATCTTTGCATAATAAAGGGCAAGCGCCCTGCAATCAAGTGTTCAACTGATGCGGCACACACAGAATCTCCTCTCCTAGTGACTACTGTCCACAAAACGTATGGTCTCTATTCCCTTCATGACTTTGCTCGGAGACGCATTCCTTAGTGTTGAACCCACTAACCAAATGGCACATTTAGTGCTGAACCCACAAACCCACCCACCCACCCCCACTTTTTTTTTTTTTTTTTTTTTAAATTTATAATTGGTTTCTTCAGTGGATTTTACAGCCTAATGATAGATATGCAGGTACAATAATACCACGAGAGATGAGTTTTCCCTTCTTCACTTTTCTGTCCTAAACTCCCAAACCAAGCCTAAAAGTTCGATCTGTATCTTTGTTCGTCAAACTAAATAATAACCCTAATCCGAAATAATGCTCAGCCACTGAAAATCACGTGCTTAATGAATCAAGAGTGGATGTTGAGGCTATTTTGAATATAGCACAACTGACTTTTCAAAAACCACTCTTGAAATTAGTGGCCATGCAAGCAAAACTTGATAAGAGAGACATGTAACATGACTCGAGATATGAGAGTGCAGTGTAAACTACTACTTTTTTCTGTGTCTCATTTGGAACAAAACACAATACCAACAAATTATCAACATTTTTCGTGGCCACTATACATATCCCGGCCGTCATGGTCACTTTTAAATTAATCAAGTGGTCACAATAGCAAGAAACTGAACCACATCCAATGTCCCTCGATGAGATGGTGCGTCTGCATTAATAAAAATCTCCCAGTTGACCTGAATATTTGCACAATTCCAACATAGTCGCATATGATTATTGGCCTGTTCTCCTTGCACATCAGCGAGATCTTCCATCTCATTCGCTGATCGTTTTGGTTTTGAGCAGAAGATATACTGATGCAACTAGATTCTTAACAGCTAAGTTGCAAATTGCAGCTCTTCTAGATTCTTAACAGATAAGTCACAACCATAGTAGTAACAGATGTGGAGGGAAATGATTCAGTCCGGAAAAAACAGCATTTCAGCACTGCAAGGAGAACAGGCCTATATGATTGATCATATAGGTCGGTCGATATGAAGAAACAACTTTACTTCTACTTGTTCCCTCTTGCAGTACTTGTTTTGCTGCACTATCTAATGATGACCGGCTGCACAGCCATGAAAAGATTAAGTTTAGGCACTGATCAATCTGCTCTTTTAGCCCTGAACGCCCGTATCACTTCAGAACAGCATGAATTCTTGTCAAAAAACTGGTCTTCTACAGCTGCTCCGTCCTCTGTCTGTGACTGGATAGGAGTCCAGTGCAGCTCTCGACACCAAAGAGTGACTGCTTTAAATATGTCAAACATGGGACTCACCGGCACAATACCTCCGGATTTGGGAAACCTCTCCTTTCTTGTTTCTCTTGATCTGAGAAATAACTCCTTCCACGGAAATCTGCCCGAAGAGTTGTCACACCTGCGCCGCCTGAGGTACTTCAGGTTAACATCTAACAACTTCAATGGAGAGATTCCAATGTGGTTTGGTCGCTTTCCCGAACTCCGGTTCTTGTTTCTGGACAGCAATGGTTTTAGTGGTTTTATTCCTCCTCCTATCTCTAACTTGTCAAAACTGGAAACCTTAAATCTAAGAGACAATTTCCTGGGAGGTAATATTCCAGAAAAGATGGGAAATCTTTCGGCCCTCAGAGAGCTGTATCTATCTGGGGATGACTTAGCTGGTCAGATACCATTGAGTTTATGCAAGTTTTCTCATCTTCAGGTGCTAGACTTGTCTAACAACAGGTTAAGCGGGCACATACCTAAAGAAATTGGAAATCTGGAGAAGCTTACGTATTTATCCCTCATGACTAACAACTTCACAGGTAATAATGCTTTTGCTTTGCCTTTTTGCATACGAACGAGGCCAAACTGCAATTAATGGTTATTTTTCCCTGTTTGGTCACTGGGATTCAACACTATTTACTGTTTTACCAGCATGGCTTGGATGGCTGTTTTTTTTTTTTTTTTAAAAAAAAAAAACAATTTACTATTGTAACACCTCTGCTTCTTTATTCCAGAAAATTAAAAGCATAATTACCAACACAAATTTCTGCTTGCTAGTTACATCTCAACCAAGTAAGACAGTCGTTCTCAATATATCTCTGAAATGAATATGATTAGTGCTGTCTTTACATAAAATTGTCAGGTGTAATTCCCCAAGAGATTGGCAAACTGCATGGTTTGAAGGTTCTCGTGTTGGGGCGTAACAACTTGACAGGTAATCAGGTCTATGAATAGCTTCACCACAGCAAATATTTGGAGTAAGTTTCGGGTGAAATGAATTCGTGTCATGTCTATTTGAATGTCCATAAACTTCATCAGATACTCCTACTTACTATGGAAAACATCCACCAAAAAAAAAAAACTTAGAAGTTCTGAAGAGCTATATATTCCTTAGACGTAACTAAAGGTATCAATAATAACCTAATAATGTTGATCCATCCAAACCTGTATACTAATAACCCGCCCATTAATTTTGAATAGATCTAAATAGGTATTCAATTAAATCCGTCTAATTGGTGGATAATGGATTGACTCAACTCACTCATTTATACTCACTTAAAAATAATTATACATTTTAAGTTAGCATTTAATGAGTGTTAAGTAAATAAATTTCAATTTCTTATGAATCAAATAACAATAAAATGCCTTTATTTTTTTTGTCAAACAACACACAAAAAAATAGAGAAAAAAGAGTAGAATTTTAAGTGACTCATAAATAGGTAATTGGGTATACCCAGACCCATTTATTTAATGAGTATAAATTTGCTAGCCTACCTGCATTTGTGATTGGCAGGTACGATTCCACGAGAGATGGGCAATCTCCAAAACCTGCAGCTGCTGGATCTGGAATGGAATCAGATCACGGGAAGCATTCCAAGAGAAATCGGGAATTTGACGATGCTTACTGAGCTCTACTTCGCCAACAACTCCTTGATAGGTAAATACGTCTTTAAAGTACCATTTTTTGGTGAAGTAAATCGAAATCGGTTAACTAAACACTTACATCCATTCGATTTTTTTTTTTAATTTATAATTGGTTTCTTCAGTGGATTTTACAGCCTAATGGTAGATATGCAGGTACAATACCACGAGAGATGGGTAACCTTTACCAACTCGAGAATCTTCAGTTACCTTATAATGGCTTGAATGGCTCCATTCCCCCTGGGCTCTTCAACCTCTCAGCATTGCGGAATATTGACCTTAACTCTAATCTTCTATCGGGAAATCTTCCGCGGGATCTAGGACACAGACTGCCCAAGTTGCTTGCCATACAGCTTGCTGGGAATAACCTTGGTGGAGTTATACCAGTGTCCATTACAAATTGTTCCCAATTAATAATCCTAGAACTTTCAACTAACAGATTCACTGGTTCCATTCCTGACGCCCTCGGGGACCTTAGACTTCTGCAATTTCTGGCTCTGTATGGCAACAATTTAACAAGTGATCCTACATCTATGGAGCTGAGCTTCATCACTTCATTGACAAAATGCAAAAACTTGGTTTTTTTAGGCCTGGGCCAAAATCCGTTAAATGGGCTTCTTCCAGCTTCCATTGGGAATCTCTCTGCTACTCTACAGAAATTGTATATATATTCTAGTGGAATCAAGGGCACCATACCAAGTCAAACTGGCAACTTGACCAATTTGATATTGCTTGCTCTGCAATCGAATCAGTTGACCGGAGGCATCCCAGCAGCATTCAAAGATCTACAAAACATGCAAGGTTTGAGTGTGAGAGATAATAATCTTAACGGCACTTTAGAAAACCTTTGCAATTTGCAGAGGTTGGCTTATGTAGATCTGATCACAAACCAGTTTTCTGGGTCTTTACCAGAATGCTTCGGTAATATGACTTCTCTTCGGGATCTTGAACTAGGAAACAACTTTTTAGTCTCTGCCATACCTAATAGTTTTTGGAAACTCAAAGATCTCTTGCGGTTGAACTTATCCTCAAACTCCCTAAATGGTTCCTTGCCTCTTGAAGTTGGAACTCTGAAAGCTGTAACATCTATAGACGTATCAGCGAATCAATTCTCCGGTGACATTCCCAGCACAACAGCTGATTTGCAAAACCTGTTGATTTTAAATTTATCCCAAAACCAATTTCATGGATCTATCCCAGAGTCATTTGGCAAGATGCTCAGCTTGCAAGGACTTTACTTATCGCACAACAATCTTTCTGGCTACATACCAAAGTCAATGGAGGCACTTCGGGACCTCCAAGAGCTTGACGTTTCTTATAACCATTTAAGTGGTGAAATTCCTTCTGGTGGTCGCTTTAGGAACTTTACTGCTGAATCTTTTCTGTTCAACGATGCATTGTGCGGAGATTCCAGGTTTCACGTGCCATCTTGCCCAAGAACTAATTCAATTCACAGGTCCAGACCAAAAAAGGTGCTTCTATTTGTATTTGTTCCTCTGGGACTCGCTGCTGTAGTTGTCGCAGCCTTAGCAATTGTCTTCAGAAGATATTGGAAGAAATATCAGGATTCCAAAGGAGTAAACATGGTATTAGTGCCAACGCAAGAAAGAGTTTCGTACTATGAACTTCTTCGAGCAACTGATGGGTACGGTGAAAGCAATTTGCTTGGCATTGGGAGTTTTGGATCTGTTTACAAGGGGATTCTCAATGACGGAAGGTCTATTGCTGTAAAGGTTTTCAATTTGGAATTGGAAGGAGTACTCAAGAGCTTTGATGTAGAGTGCGAAGTCCTGAAGAACCTTCGCCATCGAAATCTTGTGAAGGTCATCAGCGGTTGTTGGAACCAGGATTTTAGGGCGTTGGTGCTTGAATACATGTGCAATGGAAGCCTTGAGAAGTGGCTGTATTCTGACAACTACTTCTTAGATACTCTACAGAGATTGGATATAATGATAGATGTGGCAAGTGCAGTGCAATATCTGCACGAAGAATATTCGACGCCTGTGATTCACTGTGATTTGAAGCCCAGCAATGTCTTACTTGATGAAGATACGGTTGCCCACGTCAGCGACTTTGGTGTCGCAAAAATGCTGGAAAAGGAGGAAAGCTTTGCATGGACCAGGACCTTAGCTACAATTGGCTACATTGCTCCAGGTAATGATTCTTCAATCTTAATCCTAAAGTTTGTATATAGCATTTAGTTTTCTTTTTTTTTTTTTGCCTTCTTTTATGTGATACTTGTTCAATTTGAATGTTGTTTGTAGAGTATGGATCTGAGGGGTTGATATCACCAAAATGCGATGTTTATAGCTATGGAATCATGCTGATGGAAGTTTTTTCAAGAAGAAAGCCTAATGATGAGATGTTTGCTGGAAATTTGAGCTTGAAGAGTTGGATAAATGATTCTCTGCCTAATTCGATTCTTCGAGTCATTGATGCTAAGTTGTTGAAGCGTGAGGATGAAAATTTCACTGAGAAGTTGGAGGGTTTTTCATCCATCATGGAATTGGCCTTGAAATGTGTTCGTGAATCTCCAACTGACAGACTCAGTATGAAAGTTGTTCTTGAAACACTGAAGAAGATCAAACTCAAATTCATGCAGGTCAGGCAGGCTGATGAATAGTTCGGATCGAATATGTGGCATCTTTTATAATCATCCGAAATATTAGGGAAGAGCGGCCAATTTGTTTATATCAAATAAACTGAACCACGTGAGATTTGAAAGGCGTTGTATTACTGCAAATAAAATTGTATGATTAAAATTTGGAATTTCTGAATGTAGAGAGAAGCAGGGAAAGGGGCAGGGAACCTCTGTGTTCAAAAAATAACCTCCTCGATGTCATGACGCTGTAGTTGCTTTCACTGATGATATCTGCTTCAATTCTTTGCCAGTTATGGTTTAGAGTATAAAACAATTCCCAAAAACGACAATTTCCGATTCATCCAACAATTTTGGCAACTAAAGTGCCCAGAATTTCTCATTTCTTGAATCACAGCATACTTACTCCATAGATTTTAGTCAATTCTGGTTCACAATTGACTGACTAAAGTGCCTTTCCGGTCAGATAAACGTATGGTCAGGCGAGAGAGGAAGCGAGAGAAAGAAATTCTGCTCCCACCATTCTTGAAATTCTTTGTGTGCGCTATTGTATAATGGGGAATGGTTTCATAATTCACCATTGATCAATCTGCTTTTCTAGCCCAATACTGGAAAAATTATATGCAGTTTATTGCTTAACTGGCTCTTTATGGATTAGTTGTTTTTTAGGGTGTTTTTAAAAAATTTTACTGTAGAAGGGTATATGAAAAATTTTTACTATAAAAATTTTTTGAAATATTTGATATATTGTATGGATGAAATGCTTTTTGAGTTATTGTGTATTTCTATAACTTGTATTTTTAGCCAGAAATGTTGAATTTTTCTTTGTATCCCACATGATTCATTATAGAAAAGCCTCATATGAGTGGGGGGATCTCCATTGAAGTTGTAACATTTCTCCAAATAATCCTCTGAGTTTAACTATATATAGTTTTTTCCTAATTTATTAGCGATAATGCTTCAAAAAATAATCTAGAAGCCACGAAAAATTATCCATTGATTTACATTTGATGACATTTCAGCTGAAATATTTACTCACAAGTTTCCTGGTAAGTTGGTTATGTCGGAATGCGGAATGAAAAACCCTAATATGTTCTTAGTTTGGAGTTTCGAGAAAGTTCCAGTTAGAAGCCAAACTAAGAGAAATATTGTTAATTCTTGTGAACAAAACAAATGTCTCTGGCTCTATGAATTATGTTAATTCTCGATACCCTAATCGCGGTTTCCACTTCATGAATTTTGAACTTAATATGAAAGACAAAAAGAAGTATACTACTCCCTCCGTCCCACTTTGATAGTCTTGTTTTCCTTTTTCATCTGTCCCAAATTGTAGTCCACTTTCCCATTAAGAAATGTAGTAATCTTTCACCCTTATTAAATATCTTGTTATTAAATACTAACCCACTATATTGAATACATTGAACTTTTCCAATACTAACCCATTAGCTGTAACTGATATTAATTGGCACTCTTCGAGATTAGTATAAGAGTATTTTAGGAAATTAGTAATCTAAATTTATGTTTCCAACCAAATTAATTACACTTTTTTAATCTGTGTGAAAAAAAAAATCAAGACTAACAAAACGGGACGGAGAGAGTAGCAAATTTTCATGAATTTACGCAATACCTCAAATTGCCTGTAAATTTGTGCAATACACCTTTTTGACTCTTGGGCTTGAATTTTTGTTGCCGAGAAATTTAATTTGGTCCACTGAGTCAACGACTCTACTCCAATTTCCAACGACCCTGTGCCACTATAAGGGTCGCTCTTGACTTCAGTCATCTTCCCATAATTGGACGGAGACTCGGGAATTGACCAAAAACTAGAGAGAACCATACTTTGCACGTTAAAACACCGGCGATCCTTCGATGAAATGAGTGCTTGACATTATTATCGTCTAATTTGAAAATTTTTATCGTCTAAACATTTTTTTCGATGGATTGGATCAACTACTTCACTGAAGTCGCGAATTAAGCTCCACTTGACATTATTATCGTCTAACTGGAAAGTCCTGTCCCATGCATGAAGTCCCGTTGTTGAGAGGAAAAGAAAAACCTGGTTCTTCTCTTATTATATTTTTAGAAGTCAATTGTAAACGATAGTACCAAATTTCTAGCGCCCTTTACCCGCTAAAGACATGTGGTACGCGCATCGGTTGAATGGAATTTTTACAACACGATAGAAGCAAAAGGTCCATCTTACAACACAATAGAATGCCTGTTAATCATCACCAAGATTTTAAGTCTTGGCTGTGGGAACCTTGCCTCCCACCTGTCACTATTTATAACTTGCCATTTTCAGTAATTTTTCCCGAAGATATTTTCGTCAATTAAGACCTTGTTTGGACAGCAATTTTGCGACGTTTTTTTTAACATATTTTTCAATCACCTTTTTACCTCACATATATCAAATTACTACAGTAATTTTTTTACAAAAAATCCAGAAAAATGCAATTCAAACAAGGCCTAAGTTTTCCCTCTCTCCTAGAATAGGATAGAGTAGGTTATATAAATATTATCGGCCAAAAAAAAACATAGAATGGAATTTGGTAGTTGAATGGGGCATACCTAACATTAGGTATTTTGGTTCCCTGGAATTGTATACTTCTTCGCAAAGATTGTACAGCGTATATATATATAATAGTTTTCCTGACGTATATACTGGGGTGTACACCCTTTTACAAACTTCCTTTCACTAATCAATGAAGATGCCTATTCCAAACAAAAAAAAAAAAAATCAATTAAGATGCTGACATTTGCCTGAAAAACATAGAAGTAATGTGAGGCAAGTCGACCCGTTCCCATTTCCCATATGGCTGGCTCGATATTTTGCGTGAGCCTCCGACCTTTGGCAAATAAATTTCCTGTTCCATATTGCAATCCCACTTGGTGGGCCTCGCTATGCAAAAGCAGACTTGGACTTCCCAAATTTTGGACGGCTGGGCGGTGCACTGGACTGGCAGTTAGAATCCTCTATGCCACTATTCGGTACCAAATTCAGTGCCAATCCCACTTATCACGTGATCATAGAAGAAATTTAAATAAATAGCACATGACAAATTAAATAAGCAGGACACCTAGCATAAATATAGAAGTGGTACTGAATTGCTACTGGAAAAGTGGCACTGAGGATCCCGTATGCTGGACTGGAGGTATCTTCCTCTAATTTACTGTCCGTGATTTAACGATTTTTCACATAATCTCTCTATAGTTTCAAATACTATATATAAACTTCTCATAGTTTGAATAAAATTATTAAAGTGATAGAAATGATTTTCTGTAAAAGAAGTGATTTTTCATGTAACCTCTCTCTATAGTTTCAAATACTATATATGAACTTCTCAAAGTTTGAATTAAATTATTAAAGTGATGGAAATGATTTTCTGTAAAAGAATCCATGAAAACGTCGAAATTTCCTTGGTTAAAAATTAAAATGGTTAAAGTGACCAAAATATATAAACGTAATATGCATGATACTTTAGCTCGTATGGTTTTATATTTTTATCATATAAATTCCTCATGATTTAGTGGTTTACCACATAATCCCCTTATAATTTTCAAATATATACATAACCCCTCTATGATTAATAGATTTTGGACAGATGGGCGGTGTATTGGACTGGAAGTATTTTCCTTGGGTGACCCGGTCTTATAGATCCAATGGTCTAAATTTTGCCACATTTTCAAATATTTGAGTTGATGAGATAGTGTGTCAAATTTTGAACCACAGGACCTATATACACTTGATCTACCAAGTGTTTGCCCTAGACTACAGTCCTATTCATTTCCAAATTCACCCAACTAGAGAAGTCAACTCGGAGGAAGGGAAATTTATTTTTAAAAAGAAAAAAAAAAGAGAGAAAGAGAGGGACAAAGTGGAAATTGACCAAAATTCAGCGGAAAAGGTTTTTTAAGGCAAAGTTTGGATAACTGAGAGAGGAAAATGCTAAAATGTATTACATGCGGTCACATAATTCCAAAACAATGACTATATATAGAGGTTGCAACAGAATGGGCGAATGAGAATATACCGCCGATTAGGACTATTGATTGATCATATAGGTCAATATGAAGAAACACTTTTACTTCTACCCTCTTGCAGCACTTGTTTTGCTGCACCATCTAATGATGACCAGTTGCACAGCCATGAAAAGATTAAGTTTAGGCACTGATCAATCTGCTCTTTTAGCCCTGAACGCCCGTATCACGTCAGAACAGCATGAATTCTTGTCACAAAACTGGTCTTCTACAGCTGCTCCATCCTCTGTCTGTGACTGGATAGGAGTCCAGTGCAGCTCTCGACACCAAAGAGTGACTGATTTAAATATTTCAAACATGGGACTCACCGGCACAATACCTCCGGATTTGGGAAACCTCTCCTTTCTTGTTTCTCTTGATCTGAGAAATAACTCCTTCCACGGAAATCTGCCCGAAGAGTTGTCACATCTACGCCGCCTGAGGTTCATCTTGTTTTCCAACAACAGATTCACTGGGGAAATTCCAATGTGGTTTGGTCACTTTCCCGAACTCCGGTTCTTGTTTCTTGACAACAATGGTTTTAGTGGTTTTATTCCTTCTTCAATCTCAAACTCGTCAAAAGTGGAAACTTTAACTCTAAGAGGCAATTTTCTGGAGGGTAATATTCCAGAAAAGATGGGAAATCTTTCAGTCCTCAAGGATCTGTCTCTATCTGGGAATTATTTATCTGGTCAAATACCATTGAGCTTATGCAAGATTTCTCAACTTCAATCGCTAGACTTGTCATCCAACAGGTTTAGCGGGCACATACCTAAAGAAATTGGAAATCTGGAGAAGCTTACGTATTTATCCCTCATGACTAACAACTTCACAGGTAATGCTTTTGCTTTGCCTTTTTGCATACCAAACTGCAATTAATGGTAATTTTTCCCTGTTTGGCAATGGGATTCAACACTATTTACTGTTTTACCAGCATGGCATGGATGGCTGGTTTTTTTTTTTTTTTTTAATTACTATTGTAACACCTCTGCTTCTTTATTCCAGAAAATTAAATGCATATTTACCAACACAAATTTCCGCGTAAGACAGTTCTGATCAATCTATCTCTGAAATGAATATGATTAGTTCTGTCTTTGCGTAAAATTGTTAGGTGTAATTCCCCAGGAGATTGGCAAACTGCATAGTTTGAAGGTTCTCGTGTTGGGGCGTAACAACTTAACAGGTAATCAGGTCTGCGAATAGCTTCACCACTACTTATGGTCTATTTATAATCATGCAATTAACAAATATTTGGAGTAAGTTCTAGGTGAAACGGATCATGTCATGTCTATTTGAATGTCCATAAACTTCATCAGATACTCCTAC